GAGCTGAAAGGTGAAGTATGCGCGGTGGCGACGTGCACGGCGGGCATCCTGGTCCTGGCGGTGGCGGTGGCGGCGGCATTCACGTCCACGTCGCTGCGAGAACGCTGCAGCGAACCGGGAGACGAGGCCGCCGGCGTCCGGGAGGAGTGGAGGGCTTTGGCTGCAGAACGACGGATAAACTCATTTTAACTCATCATCAACAACTCCTGCCCCGCCATCTCTGACCGGCCTGAAATCATTACGTCATGAAATATGATCATATTCCTAAAGGTCTGGCTTCATATGTCAAACACTTTCCAAGATATGATTTAAAACATCACCCATAGACCCACTTTCAGCTGGTTTTGTTTTGCACTTTGAAGTGTGAGGCTGTTTGAGTTGACAGTCTGAAGCACGGTGGCGGCAGCATCATGATGGAGGGAGGTAATGCTCTCTCTTTTATCCAGAGTTTATAATAAAAACCTTTCAGGTGAACCAGAGGCGGCCGAGCAGAAGCTTCTGATGATCCGAGATGGAATAACGTGATCATTTTTTCACGTCGGTCAAAATTCTGCTCTCCTTGACGTATAACAGAGGTGTGGTTCTGCCTCTGTTCGACTGTGTTTGTGTGGATGTGAAGTGTTTGACAGTAATATTAGAGCAACACTTACATCTGCTGCTTCCTGCGGTGCTTTTCACCGTCAGCGGTCGACTGTGGTGGAGAAAAAGAAAAGAAAAAGCTCCGAGTTACTCAACCTGACAGACGGTTAGTACATCACCAGTGTGAGGGCAGATGTTCTGGACGAACATTCAGGAGATTTTGGGACATTTTGGACGGATTATTGTCATTTCACACCAATTTTAAGGAATTTGGACAAAGTTTGAGTCATTTTAGGTCATTCCTGGAAAGAAAGAAAGACAGAAAGAAAAAGTCATGTAGGATAACATTTTGCACATACTTAAAGGAATTTAAACACATTTCAAGCCACTCTGGATGATTTTTTTACATTTATTTTGGACAAATGTTGGTCATTTTAGGGAAATTTTGACATGATTTCAGTAGTTTTGGACAAACTTTTAGCCATTTATTACATTTAAGATATATTTCATACAAATGTCGAGTCATTTGGACACTGTTGAAGTGATTTTGGACAAACTTGAGTCATTTTGTGAAAATGTTGTTATTTTTGGACAATGTTTGACTCATTTTGGACAAAATATGATAATTTTTTAGAAAAAATTTGATTCATTTTGTGCACATTTTGTTCATTTTTGACAAATTTGAACTCATTTGGATAGGTCCTGTTTTTTTGGTCAGTTTAGAGAATTTTAAAAATAATTTGTGATCATTTTTTATGAATTTTGGAAATATTTGAGTCATGTAGGACATTTTTGAATTTGAATTTTAGAATAATTTTGGACAACTTTTTGTCACTTTCAACAAGGTTAGAGGACTTTTGGAGAATTTTTTTGTAATTTTTGATCCATTTTATACGAATTTTGAGTAACATCAAGTGATTTTGTACAGTTTTAAAGTCATTTTGTACAGTTTTAAAGTCATTTTGTACAGTTTTAAAGTCATTTTGTACAGTTTTTACTCATGTTGGACAATTTGTCATTTTGGGGAAAAACAATTTTGCACAAATGTTGAGTGTGAGTGAGGACAAATGTGACGATCTAAAGCCACTTGTTGCTCTGAGGGTTAATCAATAAGCTGATCAATCAGAGAGGATCGGTCGTACTTGAGGCTCTCCTGAGACGAGGAGGAGGAGCGATCGGAGGCAGGAAGTGACATCAGACTGTCGCCGCTCCTCAGGTGAGCCTGCAGAGCCTTCTGATAGGACGACTCCAGGCCCTGGAACAGAAGCTCCGCCTCCCGGCTGAAGTGACCGTGGAAACCCCAGTAACACCTGCAACGTCAAGCCCGACAAATCACTGCTCCAGCACCAAATTCTCACTTCCAGCCTTGAATGACGCTCCGGTCCAGCAGCTCCACCTACTTTCTGGCCACGGATCGAGCCTCGGCGTCGGCGTCGTGGATCCCTTTCTTGATGGTTTCCATTAAAACTGCTCCGTGTCTGCAAAGAGAGGAAACCGTCGTTTACAACCAGCGCCGCTCCCACACAGAAACAGTGCATTCAAACCTGTGCATCACCGTTACTTTGCACAATTAAAAACTGTTCTTATTGTATATATAGAAAACCCTGTCCAATATCAACAGCACTTATTGTTTTTGTTGGTTTTTTTTTCTTTTCTATCGTCATGAGTGGATTGAAACTTCTCTAAAATTACTCTGATTTTATGAAAACGACAAAAAGTTGTTAAAAATGACCCAAAATGTCTTTGAGTAATGAAAGCCTGTCAAAAATGACCTAAACTGTCTCCAAAGTCTCCAAAACTTTGGTCAAAATAACCGTAACTACAGCAAATAAGTCCTAAATGATCTCAACACTTTTTCAGAATTACTCAGAGTTTGTCAAAAATGACAATAATGGAACCCAAATGACTCAAACATGTCCTGAAACTCCAAAAAGCTGTTTAAAACTATTCCCACCAGACTGAAAAACTGCCCAGAATGACTCAACATTTGCCCAGAATAACTTAAACTATGTCAAAAATAATCAAATTGTCCTAAATCATATCAAACTTGTCCAAAACTACTCAAAAATCCTGGTGGGATTTTAGTAAACGCAGGTTTCAGTGTCACGTTCAAGTCAGCATGCCGAGCTTCATGACGTCCACCCGTCCGTGGAACATTTCTGGTCATGCATCCTGCAGGACTCCAGCACGGCGTCTTCTGCGGCACTGATCTTTGAACTCCTGTCAGGAAGCTGCCATCTGCTCTGCGATCCAGCCTCCGCCAGGAGAGGCAACACTTTGGCTTTTACAGGCACCAAGAATCAATATTTAAGACGTGAGAAAGGGTTCGATATGTAGAATTTCTACATGTCTGATGAGCTGATGAGGCTCTTTGTCTCCACAAAGGTTTCTGTTTTTTTTAAATGAAACTGGGTCGGGTGTGTCCTCGGTGATGCATTCGATCGATGAGAACCGGAGATCTCCCCTGGCACCGGGATCAGCTCCGGTTTCTCCCCGGCGGCGGCGGCAGCAGGAAGCAGCCAGCCGGAACCACAATGAGCCTTTTGGAGGCAGACAGAGACCCCCCCCCCTCCCGGCGTCGCGATGGAAACCGCTGAGACGGGCCTCGACCCCGCCGGTGTCACGTTTCATCGAGAAGGTGCAGCTTCGCCCACAAACCGCTGTCACCGCTTTTGTTCTGGATTCAATCTGTTCAGCCCACAGTTTGAATACAGACATTAAAACGCTTTTGTCGGCGCTTCGGCTCCGATTCTGGATCAACGAGCTCCAGTAATTAGGGTCAGTTTTGCTTTTAGAGTAAATCTGAAAAGCCACGTTTACGCCGATGTTTTCCGAAGTGTCTCACCTCTCCAGAGAGCTCGTCTGCCATTCATGCAGCAGCAGGTCCAGGAACTCGAAGCAGCGCCTTAGAGAGAGCGACACATGTCAATCAGACGAACAGCAACGTAGAAGACACACTGGATGTAAGCAGCTGGGAACTCCAACTGAATAGACATCTATGAAAGAGATGAAAGTGAAATAAAAATGCACTAAAATGCAAAATACAAAAATAAAAAATTAAAATTGAAATAAATAAAAGAAAACGCCTGTTTAAATTTCTTAAAAGGAAATAAAATAAAACAAAACATGCAAAATTAAATATAGAAATAAATACATAAAACCACAATTAATAAAATATAAATCAAAATTATTAAAATTTAAAATACAAAACTAAAAAATAAAATACTAGAACATATTATTCAAAAAATATTAAAATAAAAAAAATAAAAAAATTGAAAACTTTAAAGAAATATTAGTAAATTAAATTAAAATCTAAAAAAAATCCCCACACAAATAGAATTATTAAAAATTCATGAAGAAAATTAAACAAAAACAACAAAATAAAAATATTTTAAAATATGAAAAAGTACGTCCATGAGTCATAATGAAAGGCACATTCCCTCTGTAAAGCTCTCTCACCTTCGGACAGCCACAGATTTGGAGGTACAGTTGCTGGTGATGATGGGGATGAGGCGTGGGTAGTGCGTGTGCTGCAAAGCAAACAATAAGAAGCTTAAAAAGTCGTCACAAGAAAGCCTGTCTTGGTTTTTTAATTAATCTTTTCTAGCGTGTTTTTCATCAGCTCACGCTGTGCAGTGAGTAACTGACAACAGCAGACTGTTTCCTTTTGGACGTGAAATGATGCAATTTGCGGCATCAGATCAGATTTTTGCCTGAAATCCGTCGTTATGCTGCTGCCTGGCGGTCAGTTAAATCAGACCAGATGATCACAGCGTCCCTGTGGACAGAGTCAACGGACGTACTCGCAGGATGAGGCGGATGGCGGCCACTCCGGATGTGGCCATGACTTTGGCACTGTTGGGGACCAGGTTGAGGAGGGTCGGCATGATGGCCTCGGCCGCGTGGTCGAACCGGCCGCCGAGCAGCGAGGACAGGTGGCTGGTGGCACGAAGAAACAACCGGGTTAGCGTTTAGCACAAAACAACAATCTGCTGTGATTAGAGGATAAATCATCTGTTTCTGTCAGAGACAATCTACTGGGTTTTGTTTTAACAGCTTTTCCAGACTGACACAAATATACAGTCATGAGCAAAAGTTTCCGTGTACTACCCATCAGTCCTGAGTCCAATGACTCCTAATAACTCCAGTATGATCTCATTTCAAACACATCCCTCTTTAGTCCCAAAAACAGTCGTGCATTCTGGTTCTTTGATAGATTTACCATCGTGGACAAAGAAAAGGCCTTCTGGAGGAAAGTTCTGAGGTCAGATAAAACAAAAAATGAGCAGAAACGTGTCTGGAGACTCACGAAACACCAAACTTACAATCGAGCACGGTGGTGGCAGCATCATGCTCTGGGGCTGTTCTGCTGCCGGTGAGGTGAAAGTGGAGCCAAGTAAAACGGAACAATGAAGGAGAACCTCAAACCATCAGCAGAAGGCTGCTCTTGGACACAGTTGGATGTTCCAACCAGACAATGAGCCCAAACACACATCAAAGTGGTGAAGAAATGGTTCCATCAGGCTGGAATGAAGGTTCTAGACTGGTCTCCCCAAAGTCCTGACTGGAACCATCCAGAACCTGTGGACTGATGAAGGACCCAAACCAAATATCAGCATTAATGACCGTATGTTTCTGACCCCGCAGATGTTGTCATATCTCCAGAAGACTTTTAATTAATCTGTAGAAGAGGCAGCCCCACAGCATGATGCTGCCACCTCCATGCCTGATGGTAGGTCTGGTGTTCTTGGGGTTGAAGGCCTCACCTTCTCCATTTCTGCTCAGTGTTTGTTCCATCTGACCTCAGAACTTTCGTCCAGAAGGCCTTTTCTCTGTCCATGATAATAAAGCCATGAAAGAAGACGTTTTGTTGTGACTATGATGCATGTGTTTCAGTGATCCAGTGATTCTGGAGAACCAGCCTCCCAGCGTCTTACCCCAGAGTGATGCAGGCTTCTCTCACCACCTGAGACCGCAGGTCCTTGGCAGACAGTTTGAATGACGCCTCCATGAGTCGCAGCTGCTGCAGGAAGCCATCGAACTCTGCGGCGCCGGCGATCAGCAGCGAGCGCACCTTCTTCAGCTGCAGGAGCAGGAACAGACAGGAAACAGCGGTCAGCAGGCGTTTTCACCAAAGCCGTGTTTCAAACTGAGGCGAAGACTCCTTACGGCTGCCACTCGGAGCTCCCAGTCCCGCTTGTCGTCGGACAGGACGTCTCGAATCTTCGCCATGGCTTCCTCCACCTCCCTGTTGGAGTAGATCTGACGGAGCAGCAGGACAAAGGAGGAGTCAATGCACATCCATAGTTTCAGCTTCAAACTGGAGCTGAGATCAGGCTCCAGACTGACTTTCTCACTGGGAGCACTGGTGTTCAGGTCAGATTTAAATGAGAACATGTGCAGAGCTGTCGATCATGTTCAGCTAAATGACTGTCGTGATGTGGTTTTGCTGCTGTGGTTGAACCCTTTCTTTTCCACATAAATCATTCATACGGATCCTGTCTGTGAGGAACGAAGATCCTACCTGCACTGTGGGAACATCTTCAAAGGCCTGGATGAAGTCCTCCTCGTCCACAGCTCCAGCTCCAGACCCATCCCTCCCTGCAGACAGAGGCCAGGTTAGTTAGTTGAGTCTGTGTTTAGCGTCAAGTGCAGGCAGGACAGTTCATGTAACGAGCTTCAACCAAAGCACTGTGACAGGACTGGTGAGCTCGACGTGTGAAGTTCACGTCACACAGCTTTACGAGTCGGTGGAGCGTAAACAGCTGATCAGAGGCAAGCGAAGCTGACTCGTGTCTTTGCTGATGTCTCAAATGAAGAGTCAGAACGATGCTCAAGTTCAGTTTGTTGCTTCCAGCTGTTCAGGAGTCTTTCCTCTGAGTTAATCAAACACCTGCAGCAGGTTTTCAAAGAGAGATGCTTTTGTTTCGTTGCTGCCCTTGGATTGTCATCTTGCCACCGCTCTGAACAACGCCTACCCCTGCTAACCCTCTTAGCAGATTCCTCAGAACGAGGTTCTGGTCCTGACCTGCAGACTTGGCGCTGGAGGCTGAGGCGGCGGGGCGTCGAAACGAACCCATGCTCACCGCCTTCCTCCCGGACAGCGAGGCGCCTTTGGACGAGGACGAGGAGCGACCGCCGTCCGCCGAGTCATCGTCCTCGAAGTTTTTGTCTGAAACAGAGAGAGAGAGGCGGAGGGTTCTGGTCACCGGGCTGAAGAACAAAGAACGGGCCGGAAGGCAGGAAGGCGGATTCTGACATTTCTGCATTTTGACTTTTCGCTGACGAGGAGGACATAACTGACATTCCTGCAACATAACGAGCCAAAGATGGCGACGAGCTCAGAGGTCAGGGACACAAACAGTGGTCCCAGTGTTCCCAGTGTTCCCAGTATGGAGTGAGCACAGCCTGAGGAAACAGTGTGCTGCATAAGGAGCAGAAAACAAATCTGACTGACTGTTACCCTCCATTTGCTGAGCCATTGTTGTCCACAAATTACAATGCAGGTTTGAGCCTCGCTGGAATATTTTTCTCTCTTTATGTTGAGTTAAATACTAATTCTGACATGAAATAGCACAAAAAGAATAACTTAGAATTAGAAAGTAAAGCTTCATTCACTGTGTAACGGATTTAACATGTGATGGAGCACAAACACGTCATCAAAAGCAGGACGGACGGCATGAGTCTGTCAAATCGCCGACATGGATCCATAACAAATATTAAACTGTCTGTTAATTGCATTATTTCATTTATCGCTGTAAGAAGGTATTTTATTCCTAGAAAGCAGCTCAGACCAGAAATACTTAAAACAGATGCCGGGATTACTTCTTATTTACGTTTCTTTTATATCTTTGAGACAAGAGGATTCACTTTTACGATCAAACTGCAGCAAGGTCTTGAAAACATGGAAAACCTGGATTGTATACGTGCATCATTTGTTGACTCTCTGAAGTCTGGATTTTAAACTTTTTAATGCTTTTTTTCCCCCCTTTTTGATTTCATTTTATTTCTAGTTTTACATATTTAAACAGTCCTTGTGAGGTTCTGTACGGAGCACTGAGAGCGCCGAATTACAAAAATATATCAATAAAAGAATAATAAAATAAAAGTGGAAATAAAAAGGAGAACAAATAAAATAAATATAAATAAAGTGGCAATATAAAGCAATATTAATCAAAAATGAATCCATATAAGACATATAAAGACAAATAAATAAAATATACTAATAATGATTTATTTATTTATATATCATTATTATTATTTTACATTTATTATTATAATTTTATTTTATTTTTTTAAATATAATGTTCTGTGCTTATTTAAATTATTTATACTCGCCTCTTCTTCGAACTGTATTTTGCAGAAGTCCATCTCAGTTCATTAAGAAGTTTGAGTATAACAGCACTGAATGTACATAATTATCTACAGGTGTTAATTAAATTAATCAGCTGATTATTTTCTTTGTAAATCTAATAACGAGAGTAAAACTTTCTCATGATGTGTGAAGTTTTAAAGCTTTTCATGCAGCACAGCTGCTTCCAGAAGCCCTTTACATGTATGTTGTTCTGGATCATTTGGATCTGGTGGATCTGTTGAATATGAGTTACTGCTCCATGAATAACTCCTACATCGCTGTGAGAGCCGGCAGCCAGTTTCCCCTCCGCTCAGGAATCTGCTCGGCCAGCGATCGATCCTTTTTCATTATTTAAAGTTTGCACACAGACACACAGCAGCAGCAGGAGGCTTTGAAAACGCATCAGCGGTGAGCCATCGGGTCGCAGTGTTTCCTGCCAGCAGAGTCCACAGCTCTCAATATCAGCACAAGGTGAGTGAAGGAAAAACCCTCGCACCTGTCACAGCCTCATAAAACCTCACGCTCAACACGCCGCCGTCTCCTGTGCCTGAACACGTTTTCTTTAAAGAAGCATCGCCATTATGACACCACTGGTCAGAGCCAGACGCTGTAAAGCAGCAAGGACTGTCAGAAAAAACACAAACAACAACTTCAACGTCACCACAGAACCACAGAGTCACCACAAAGAGTGGCAAAATCACCACAAAGAGTCGCAAAATCACCACAAAAAGTCATAAAATCACCACAAAAAGGTGCAAGATCACCACAAAACACTAAACCGATAGAAAACATACTAAACCCTCACAAAAAGACACTAAACCACCAAAAGACGTGGAAAAGTTAAACATAACCCAGAAACTGCAGATGAGTTCGCAGGTTGCATATTAAAACTCCCGCCTCCAAAAAACAAGCAACAGTCATTGCAAAAAGACACGAAACCTCCACAAAAACAGACTACACCCCCACACACAGTCACCCCACAACGCATCACCAACATCACTGACACCCCCAGAAGCTGGAGCCACAGCAGGCCACTGAAGAAGCCGCTCAGCTGAACGTTAACCTTGACGAAGCGGTTTTCTGATCGTTCGCCTCGACGTGGAGCAGCATCGCGTCCGGCTGAGTCCACAGCAGCCTCGCGGTCTCCTGACCTTAGCTCTGCTCTCAGGCAGCAGGAAGCCATCACGCTGTGTTTACATTCGACAGACAGACACACTCCAGCCCGAGCCTCCGTCACACCTTCATTCATCCACCAGCCATGGCTTTCATCCCTGCAGCAGCTTACAGGAGCAGATCCGCCTGCAGACCAGTTTCCTCAGCATGCCGGCACACAGACAGACAGGTGGTCGTCCTCACATCTCCCCCCAGCCCAGGACACAACAGAGGGAAGGAGCAGCCTCGCCTCCCCCCTCCTCTCAGGAAACATGTGCTTCCATCCTCCTCCTCCTCCTCATCTTCGTCCTCTAATTCACTCCTCGGGAAGGAGGAGGGAGGCGACGGAGCGAAGCAGGAAGAGGAGGGGGGCGGACCAATGGGAGGAGAAGGGAGGCGGAGCGAGGGACGATGGCGACATGATGACTCAGGAAGAGGAAGAGGAAGGACAGCGGGGTTCATCCAGCTGCTGCAGAGGTTTTATCTCTGCTCGCTCAGTGCTGCTCGACGCCAACAACATGCAGTTATTCCACCGTTCTGTCAGCAGCAACGATGCAAAAACCCCAGAAAAAAAACGCCCCAAACTCACAAACACGGACACAAAGACCCTGAAAAACATGCTAAATCACCAAAATATGCAAATTCACCAAACAAAATGACCAAATAAGGCACAAAAGCCCTACAAAAAGCTACTAAAT